ACCCCCTCCCCACAAAAACAAAACAGAACAACAAAAACCCAAACTCCAAACCTAACTTAAATATTTTATAATCAAATTTGTATATTCAGTAACAGTGTAGAGGCCTTAAAACACATAGCTCCCCACCCAAACTTCTTCCAACTACCTGCTAACCAATGTTATAAAACCTATGTGCAAATCCAAGGGGATGACATTGCTGAAAGGTAGCAAGACAAAGGGTCTATGTTCTCTTAGAGAACTGTCTGAAAGCTGCCATATTTTACTTCTACTTACATCTTCTCCACTAGAATTTAGTCACGTGGTATCACCAGCCAGGAACTATCCTTTCTACAAGAGACTATGTTCAAAGTCCAATTATGACAGAAAAAGCAAGCATGCATATTTGAGGCAAAGTTTTCATTCTTTCAAAGCATTGGCTATCTCAAAATCCTTTCTCAGGTAGCTCTTTCCCTCACCAATGATTTTTGACACTTTTGTTTTAAGCCCTTGCTCTCCTTCTAGATATTTCCACACCCTTTTACATTCATTGCGTAGGACTTTTAGGTTCATCAGAAACCTTGTAAAAGGTAGCAGATCTGTATTTTGCCTAAATAGGCTGCAGTTTCAAAGAAAACTTGAACAATTATCATTGTGGATTGTATTTTTTAAAGCCAGTATCTGCTTAAATTCTCACTAGCGAAGAATTATACTCTACACTACTGTGGCTTGGTCCATCCAATTACATGTGAAATTAATTACTAAGAGTGTCCCATTGGTAGAAGCTTTGGAAGCCAGTTTGTGCTTTGATCGTTCTCTTCATTTCTCTGCCCCAATGGCCATTCCAGACAGTGGCTGCTCCTCTGACCTGGGCCTGGAGGGAGGAGGATGTGAGCACAGCCTTTTCCAAAGTGCCCGGACTCAGCCTGTGAGCAGTGTGAGCACAGATGCACAGTGAGCCACTCAACTCTTGGGGGCGTTTGTCATGTGGCCTCACGTTGTGTGTTCTGACTAGTGCAATCACACTGAAGATGCTTCATCTAATTTCCTTTTAACCTAATTCACTTCTAGTCCCACACAGGAAAGAGTAGGAAATGCAGGAAAGGAATGAGGGGAAAAGAAAAGCCTATTCTGCCACATGAAGACTGTAATATCACCAGCTGCCTATTTTACATCCTAATTTCCAAAATATACTTGACATTTTATTTTAGCATTTCTAATCATATGGAAGCAAAATGTTAAGTGAGGTGATTATGGCAGAAAAAGTGTCCCTAAATTAATCTGTTTATATCTGTTTTATTGTTGCACTTACCTATTTGTCTAGGAGCAATGGCTAAGTAATCTTTAATAAGAAAAAAATTAACGAATTTCCAACTGTCTATTATATGTTTTTAAGCCCATATCTAATAATTCATTTGATTAAAAGAGCTTATCTTTAACAAAGCCCTTAGTGTACTATATATAACTAAGTGGTCATTAATAAGGGAAAATGCTTCATTTCACAATGAATTTAAATCAGCAAACCAAGCTTACAAATACTGGTGCATCTATCCAGCCTCAGGGTTCTAGCCTTGTGGATCTTGGCCTTGACTTGTCATTCTCAAATCTCTTTCTCTTTGTAGAGGCTGCTTAACCACTTAAACTGCTAATTCTGAGCGTGTAATTATGTTGGGAATTCTTGTTACGTGCACCTTCAACCTTATCCTATGAAGATTTCTCACACAGTCACGTCTCTTTCAAGTTGTCAGCTTCTTTATCCTATGTGATGTGTCAATTACAAAATTTTAAATAAGAAACACGATGATTTCCAAGCAAAGAAGATTTAGAAACCTCCTACAAAGAAGCCACTGCTTTCTTCAGAGTAGATGTGCCAGTAGTTTGTTCAGGAAGTTAATGGAAATATTTCGTGGAACTACAACATGCCCATTTATTGACCACACCGTCTCTAGCCTCCAGAACAATTCTTGGCACTTAGCATTTGCTGAAGGCAAGAATGGAAGATCCCTTGAAGCTCTGAGACAAACCTTTAGGGGACATTGAGGGGATGATAATTTTATTAGAGAGGTATGAGTTTTCTAACTCACATTTCCATCCATATGGACCCTGAATGTTACAAGATGTATCCATGAAATTTTTGGACTGACTTTTTAAACAATCATATCGATTCTTTCAAAAGAGGATTGACCTTCAGATTCCTGACTCTAGGAGTTTCACTGCCCTGGCCATTGCTTACAACATCTTATGAGCCTCATTTCTCCCTCCTCAGGTGATCCCTCTGTAGGGCTGTGCTACCAGACAAGTGCTACCAGGTACTGGCTGCGGTGACTAGATGGCGGTCTCAACCCTGCCGTTACCCTTCTGCCCCTCTGATTCTACCCTAAGGCATCAACAGTTGATAGATGCAGTAATTGTTAATGAGTACAATTTCTTCCAGTCTCTAGTTGACTTTTTAATGGTTTTTAAAAAAGCAAGTAAATGTATTGACTCTCAACTCCCACACTCATGCTTCTCTCTAAGAAGTGACTTCCTGTGTGTTGTGTGTATGCATTTTGTCATGGGGTGACATTGGCCCTAAAAAGCAATTCTTCATGAAAATGTTGAGACAGCAGTCTAGATATTTTGGGATGAAGTAAATTACTGTCATAGGACACAATGGTGTTTCTGGAAAAGTTAATGTTTGGTTATTTCCTTGATGATCTTAAGTGTACTTACTATTTTTTTCTTTTTATTGAGTTTATTCGTACAATCTAGGTGTACAATACAGTTACATTCATTATTGGGATCCTGTACCTTTACATGATTAGTCTTGATTCTCATTTTTTCCCCTTGTCCCTGCCCTCCCTTCACCCCCTCCTCTCCTCCCCATTTACAAACACTTTATTTCCATTTTTTCAATTTCTCATATTTTTTTCCTCTCCCTTATTGCCTTTCCCCCACCCTTCCCACTTTCCCTACACCTTTAGCCCTTTACTTCCTATTTAAGCACACTTACTATTAATGGAGGCAACAAATTAGATGCTTGGACAGAAATTGCTTCATTTTACCAAACTCCTTTGTAGTATTTTTTTTTTCAAAATTGAGATTGAATTTTGTCAATTTTTTAATGGCTATATAAATTAGAAAATTGTGATGTACAGGTGAAATTCATGGACTCTGGTCATATTGCAGGGATTCAAATCTGTGTTTACCAATAATTTGACTTGGACAAATAATATTCTCTGTTATGAGCTTCCTGATCAATAAAATGGGGATGACAATTGTATCTATATTATTGGATTTAAAAAAATTAATAGGCTATCCTTTGATCAATTTAAAGTTTATAGAAAAATTTAGGTGAAAGTAAGAAATTTCTCATATATCCTCTTCTCCCTATCCCAGTATTACATCTTGCATCAGTGTGGTACATTTGTTGTAGTCAAGGAGGAGTCAGTACTGACATATTTTGTTAACTTTAGATCACATTATGATTCACTATTTTACATTTTACAGGTTTTGATAAATGAATAATATCTGCCATTGAAGTACTATACAGAATAGTTTCACTGATACAATATCCTGTGTTTCATTTATTCATCTTTCCTTCCCATATCTCAAAGGGTGACAACCATTCATGTTTTTACTGACAACCGTTTTGTCTTTTCCAGAATGCATATAGTTGGAGTCATATTATACAGTATTTACAGATTAGTTTTTTTCATCAAACAATATGTATTTAAGTTTATTCAATGTTTTTTCATGATTTGATAGATCATTTTTTTTATTGTTGAGTATTCTATTGCCTAGATTGACCACAGTTTATCTATTTACCTACTGGATAACTCTTGGCTGCTTATAATGTTTGATGGTTAAGAATAAAGCTGCAGGGCAGGGATTTAGCTCAGTGGTGCAGCCATTACATCGAAAGTGCAAAGTCCTGAGTTCAATTCCCGGTACCAAAACAAACAAACAAACAAACAGAATAAAGCTGTAGATTTTTGTGTGGTATAGTTTTCCATTCATTTGAGTCAATATCAAAGCATACGATTACTGGATCTTACAAGTAAACATTTATAAGAAACTATTGAATGTAACTGTATTGTATACCTAAAATGTACCATAAACTTAATAAAGATAAAAAAGAAACTATTAAGTTATTTTCCACTGTGGCTATAAAATTTTGCTTTTTCACCAGCAGTAAATGAAAATTTCTGTTTCTCCACATCCAGACTAGCACTTGGTGTTGTCAGTGCTTTGCATCTTAGATGTTCTAGTAAATGTGCGCTACTGTCTTATTTCTGCTTTCATTTGTCATTTTTTAATGGCAAATGATGGTGAATACCATTTTCTTTCTGTGTATCTTCTTTGTTGAAGCTTTGAGGGTTATTTTTTCTTTCTTTTTATTGGTGCATATTAGCAGTACAGATTAATGAGATTCATGATGATATATTGGTATGTATGTACATATTTTGATTATTTTTATTCATTTGTTTTCCAGTCTCTTCCCTATCACTAGACTACTACTTTGTAGTTTCCTGTCTTCTCTCTTTTTAAGGATTTTTAAAGGTGTATTACAAGCAATACAAAGAAAACATTATGTGCAATGTCTGGCATACAGTAAATTATCAATAAATATTAGCTTTTTCATCATTAGAATGCTGAAATCCTCCTAAGGAATCTACCTGAAAAGACTGACTTGATGTCACATCTGCATTCTTAGAAAATTATATCAAATTTTTCTTTAATTAAAGAAAAATTATAGTAATATACTTTTGGTTTTCCTCAGCTATCTCTGAGGAAGTTTTTCCTTGTTAGAGAAGAGTGAAGGAAGAAATTGAAGTAGAATAGGGTATTCTTCCACTGGCAGATTACCTGCGTGGGTTGAAAAACTTCATAAGATATAGACTTCTGAGTCACAAACTGATTTTGATGTTTAAGGAGGAGGTAAAGGATTATGTACCTTTAAAAAGCTTCTCAGGCTACTCTGATTATACATTGGGTTTCTGAACAATTTTACATGGTAAGTACATGATCATATAATTTATTACCAAAGCTAGATCATCTTTGAGGTTGAAAGTAGGCATTATTATTAATTTGCTCAGGACAATGCATAAAAACAAGAAGGAACTGGGCTCTAGGGTTGTATTCTAAGGTTCCAGAATGGTAGTGACACATTCTACACAAATGATTCCTAGTGTTTTTGTATGTGAACCTTGATATTGTGTAGTTTTCTAAAAAAAAGATGTAATTAATATTTATGCATAATATTGAAAAGAAGGAATTAAAAAGATTCCCCCAGGGTAGATTTTATTAAAATTTCAGCAAAAGAAATTTAGATTTCATATTTACATCAAAAGTGATAAAGCTCATAATACATCATTCAAATTAATTCGATATTAAAGATAATATATACTTTAAAAAAAGAATATAATATCCAAAGCAAAGTTTCAAAGTACAGTCTGGCACTTCAAAAACTTCTTTGCTTGACTTCAGAGCAGATTTGAAAGAAAAAGCATAGAGAAGAACATTAATTTTTTTGTGACATTCGGTGGCAGCTCAGATGCACACAGATGTTAACACCTATAAATCTATATCGTTTTTGGAGACTGGCAGAGGAAAAATGAACCAGTGCTTCTTGAACACCTCCAGTGGTTCAGGTGAGCTAATTGTTCTTATCCCTCAATCAAATGAAATGGATGCTCTGATCCATTTTACAGAGAAGTAACCAAGACTTGGAAAAGTTAAATAACCTGCTTAGGGTTACACTAGTGGTACGTGGCAGAAACAACTGCAAGCCAGGTGTCCCAGTGCTCTTTCTTCTGGGTCAGACCATCTCTCTAGTTGCAGAAGAAGGTCCTGTTTTACTAGAGTGCTGGTCTTGGTGAGTTGAGATTGCAATTCAGAATGTAGATGGGGCTAGTGAATTTATTCATGGGGCATAAATCTGAAGATAAATATTTTTGAGGGTTTTTTTTTCATTGGGAGCCAAGAATCTTCAAAAAGCAGGCTTGTGTGAATGTGCTAAGATAGGTGCTGAAGGCATTATGCCCACAGTTTCCCCATATGGCCTGAGATCTGTGGAGAGATGAGCTAAGAAAAGAAATTCATGAGTTGTTTTACGAAGAATTGCTATGAGTATAAATGAGAAAAAGTCAAGACTGGAGAAGTAAACATTAGCCAGTATGTGAAAGACTTTAGAACCAAGGAGAAGAGTTAGTATCTGCCCTCAGCGAAATAGGAGTTGGTCAAAATAATTGAAGCAGGAGAATTCAAATCATCATCTTGGTGCTTTTTGAAAATTATTGTGTCTGCACTTTGAAGAAGCAGATTGGTAAGAAAAGCTAAAGGGATTCTATTGCTTTGTTCCATGTGAACAGTGTATATTCTGACCTATACATGGCCGTAGAGATAGGGAAGAGTGAATAAATTTAAGAGATATAAAGTGGGTGAAATTTATAAATCTAGGACTTCACTGTTTTGGGGGTAATAAAGAAGGAGTGATCAAGGATGATTCTGAAATCTTCAGCTTGGATAACCAGATAGTTGGGATTTTACTAAGCTGTTGTGGACTGATGAGTTCAGATGCAGGCTAAAAATAATAAATGCAAAACAATAAGAATGGTTAACAGGAAGGTGTCCAGAAGCAGCTGGATAAAAGTGTGTGGCATTTTAAAGAGAAATTTCGACGAGAGACACTGCTTTGGGAAATAATTGCATGTAGATTGTAAATTAAGGCAAGGAAGCAGCGAAATTACTGTGCAAGAGTATGTAGATTTAGTAGATTTAGAAGAATAGAGAGCTTATGATGTGGCTTTGAGGAAGACAAGGTGGATTTCATAGGCACCTAAGAAGGAGGGGCTCACAGATTAGAAGGAAAATCAAGAAAGAGCAGTGTCATGGAGGTGAGGGAAAGAGTTTCAAGATGAATGTGACTATCAAATACAGTAGTGATGGGAGGTCAAAAAAAGAGAAAGACTGAAAAGTGTTTATTGAATGTACTACAATTTTAATTAAATAGGGGCGTGTGTTCCAAAAGTTTGAGTACTACAGTTTCCAATGTGGAATCATAGCTTGGCAATGAATATCACTTTTAATCTATGTAATAAGAAGAAATTCTGGATTGTAGAAAAGAGAGGGAGGGAGAAGGGAGGGAGGGAGGGAGGGAGAGAGAGAGAGAGAGAGAGATCTCAAAGAGCTACTTCTAAATAGCATCTCGAGGAAAGGTAAATTTAGTCCTAAAAGTAGATAATGAGTGAGTAATTGATTAGTAGTGTGTTCTACAAGTGTTTATTAATTATTGAACAATGCTTATATGTACTCATTGCAATAAACTTTTCATAATTTTCATATATATTGCTCATATAAAAACACCCAAATGTGTTATTCAGTTTTTAGAGCATGTCCTATCTTTTTTTTTTTTGGTACTGGGGAATGAACTCAGGTCCTTGTGCTTGCGAGGCAGGCCACCAAACCACTGAGCTAAATCCCTGGCCCTAGAGGGTGTGTTTAGTTGAGATACTGTCTTCCATGGCACCCTTCTCCCCATAAGGACCATGATGACAAAAAAAAGGACCACTACAAAATCCTATCTTTTTTTTTTTTGGTACTGGGGAATGAACTCAGGTCCTTGTGCTTGCGAGGCAGGCCACCAAACCACTGAGCTAAATCCCTGGCCCTAGAGGGTGTGTTTAGTTGAGATACTGTCTTCCATGGCACCCTTCTCCCCATAAGGACCATGATGACAAAAAAAAGGACCACTACAAAATCCTATCTTTTTTTTTTTTGGTACTGGGGAATGAACTCAGGTCCTTGTGCTTGCGAGGCAGGCCACCAAACCACTGAGCTAAATCCCTGGCCCTAGAGGGTGTGTTTAGTTGAGATACTGTCTTCCATGGCACCCTTCTCCCCATAAGGACCATGATGACAAAAAAAAGGACCACTACAAAATCCTATCTTTTTTTTTTTTGGTACTGGGGAATGAACTCAGGTCCTTGTGCTTGCGAGGCAGGCCACCAAACCACTGAGCTAAATCCCTGGCCCTAGAGGGTGTGTTTAGTTGAGATACTGTCTTCCATGGCACCCTTCTCCCCATAAGGACCATGATGACAAAAAAAAGGACCACTACAAAATCCTATCTTTTTTTTTTTTGGTACTGGGGAATGAACTCAGGTCCTTGTGCTTGCGAGGCAGGCCACCAAACCGCTGAGCTAAATCCCTGGCCCCCAAAGTCCTATCTTTTTTGCAACTCTTGCCAACTATGGCTTCTCAACATTATTAAAACTTATTCTCTTGACATCTTTGAACTCCGAGTGAATGGAAAGTGATGGATGGCTGAAAAGTGTTTGACACAAGCTTATGAATAAATAGCCTGTGCTAATTTTACCCATAACTTTTGTCTTATGGAGGTATGAAAATATTTAACCTAGTTTATTTTTCTGCGACTCAACGTAAATGATACTTCAAGCTCTTCTGTCCATGTGATAGAATACACAATGCCGCATTCTGGGTTTAAATGAAGTTGCTCAAACTCCATCAGTTAAATATTTTCTTCCCTGCTCCTCTCACATTCCAGCTACATTGAGTCTTGGCACAGCAGGAGTATGAGAAGGGCAGGCAGTGGAAGCCGTTTTGGTCCAGTGCAGTCCTGAGAGCGTGGAGAGGTGTGACAGGAAACAAGAAGTAGAACTGAGTGAGGGGCTCTTTTAGGGAGAGGGTGAGGGCAATGACTATGAAGAGTCCTTGAGAAAGCTGATGTGTTTTTCTTTCTTGATCTAACAGATAGATAAACAGGCATGTGCAGCTTGTGAAAATTCATTGATCTTTATGCTAGATTTCTTTTTTTTTTCTTTTTTTTTTTTATTGAGTTTATTGGTACATTTAGGGATACAGTACAGTTACATTCATTGTTGGGATCATGTACCTTTACATGGCAAGTCTTGATTCTCATTTTTTTCCCCTTACCTCTGCCCTCCCTTCACCCCCTCCTCCCCTCCCCATCTACAAACACTTTATTTTCATCTTTTCATTCTCTCACATTTTTTTCTTTTCCCTTTTTGTTCTTCCCCTACGTATCACACCTTCCCTACACCTTTAGCTCCTTTCCTCCCATTTCTAAATGTCAGTAATCTTATTAGAATCTTATGCATTGTTGCAGAATATTCACACCAGGGAAACTATTTGGTATTTACACATGTGGGACTTATTTATTTCACTTAGGAGTATATCTTCAATATGTATCCATTTTCCTATGAATGAATCTATTCTCTCGCTCTTTATGGCTGAGTAATATTCCATTTTATAGAAAAACCACAACTTCTTTATCCAGTTTCCAACGGATGGGCAAATAGGTTGTTTCCAAGATTTAGCTATTACAAACTGTGCCGCTATAAACATGGGTGCACATACTTCTCTGTGATATGATTCTTTTAGTTCTCTTGGAAAGATACCCAACAGAGGGATGGCTGGGTCAAATGGAACCTCCAGTCCAAGCTCTTTGAGGTATCTCCATATTGATTTCCATAGTGGTTGCACTAGTCTGCACTCCCACCAACAATGGAGGAGGGTTCCTTTCTCCCCACAACCCCGCCAACATTTGTTATTGTGTGATTTCTTGATAGCAGCCATTCTTTGTGGGGTGAGGTGGAATCTCAGTGTTGTTTTCATCTGCATCTCTCGAATGACCAGTGATGTGGAACATTTTTTCATATATTTTCTTGCTGCTTTCACTTCTTTGTATGAGAAATGTCTGTTCATTTCGGATGCCCATTTTTGGATCGGGTCTTTATATTTGGGGGGACTGATTGTTTTGAGTTCTTTATATATCCTTGATAATAGTCCTTTGTCTGAGGTACAGCTGGTAAAAATTTTTTCCCACATTGTAGATTGTCTCTTAGTTCTGCTAATGGTTTCTTTTGAAGTACAGAAGCTTTTTAGTAAGATGAGATCCCAGTTGTTGATTCTTTCTGCTAGTTCCCGTGCTACTGAGGATTTGTTCATAAAGTCTTTTCCTATACCAATGTCTTCCAGAGTTCTGCCTAACTTACTTTCCAGCAAGTTTAATGTTTCTGTTTTAATATTTAGATCT